GCGCAGGGGCGGCCGGTGCTGGGGTGGACGCGGGGAGCTGCGGTGGAGCGTCATACCTCTTTACCGAGCTACGGAGCCGGATGCTCCCCGCTCCACCCCCGAACCTCACGCTTTTGGGGCCGCTCCGGCGTGGAACGGGGGCCGGTGTGACAACGCAGCCCCACTCGAAGGCTGGGCTCTACAGCAAAATGAGGCGAAACACCGAAAGCGATGGTTCAATTACAGCGTGATGAACCGTGTATTGCTCGGTGGGCACGAGTGCAAGAAAAGAGCGTTCATAGCCTACTCGGGCCTTGGTCCCTGCGGGGGTACAGTCTTTCCTGGTGCGATTTGCAAACACGCTGGCAATCCGTATGCTAAAAACATGGTCTCTTCAACTGCCACAGACCTGGCAGCAGCCAGCCTCGCTCGTGGTATGAGGCTGACTCACTTGCTTAGGTTTATCAGCGCTGGCAAACAAAGAGAAACCTTGCAATATATTTCACCTTTCTTTCCTCTCCCTCATCTAAATGTCCAGTAAGGTTTTTTCATTAACCTTAAGACATCTTCAGAGTGGAAGAGCGCTTCCGTGCAAACACAGCTGAAGGGGAACAAACAGCATCTGCTCTGCAAATATTAAATACGGGCAGTAGATGAATAGACTTATCTCCTTTATCACGATTAGCCACATTGCTGCCTTGTAATTTTGGCCTATCACTCAACAGAAACTGTAATCAGGATGTAATACATCCTATTGGCACATTACAGCAATGCAGCTGTTCAAGGCAGCAGCTGATCCAGTCTGCAACCTTAAACCAGGTTTAAACTAGGTTTTATTACACCCAGGGCAAGGTTCCAATGAGTATACCGGCAAAACGTCTGAAAAATAATAAAGGTTGAATCTTGGCCCGCTGAAGTTAATTCTGACGTTGGCTTCAACAGGAGGAAGAGTTTCACCAAAGTGGCAAATCGGGCAGGTCGCAGAGGTGGCCTCAGTGAAGTCAGAGACTCGGAGAGCGAAGGAGCCGTGGGGGCAACGTCCCCAGGCGACGGGGCAAATGCTGGGCTCTCGCATGGATTTCCAGGCTACGACGGACGAAGAAAAGTTTCTTGTAAGAAAATTGTTATATAGAATTTGACTGCAAGACACAAAGGGCTTGAAAGGTGCTGTGATAAGACTTGAACTGTTAGCTTAGTTCCATGCGGAAGGTAGCAACAAAGGGTGTGTTAGCACCCCAAAGAACAAGTAAAGTTGCAGGAGC